CAAAATATGTACATTTGTACCTGAATTTTGTATAGATAGAATTTTTACAGACTACACATATACGCTTATATGTATTAGTTATACACATCTGCTCCTCAACCATTCCATTGCTAGCTGTTGAATATCTCATTGATGTTATAGAATATCTAAAGGTAAAAATGATTATATATTGATTTAATGAATTAGTCACAGGCTACAACCTTGAAATCATGGGAAAAGCTAATCGGATGAAGGATGTATGTGTCTAGTCGAGTAGTCAACTACCCGATCAGCCTTCTCACTTCCTTTCCCCCATCTGCCTCTGTATCAGAGGCAGCAGGAGGTAGAGAGAGAAGCAGGAGCCAGTGCTGGGGGGAGCCAACTTAAAAGCTAGTTCCCCCCAGCACTGTCCCTGTGAAGCAGGGGTCAGGGGGCAAGGGAGGCAGAGGCGCAGCAGCTCCTACTACATTTAAACTGCGGGGGTAGCTCCTATACCCAGTGTGAGCTGGGACAGAGCGCCTCCCTCTTATCAACTAATGATGTAGTCGATACAAATTCACTTAACATCCTTAAATCATATATCATCTCTGTGTTTTGTACTTTGCTGGTGGTGTGATGGGTACCCAGGTGGGACAAGTAATGGCAAAATGATTGTAGTATCACCCACTACTGAGCATAAGAACATACTGGGTCAGACCAAAGGTCCATCTAGCTCAGTATTTTGTCTTCCCACCATGACCGATGTCAGGTGCCCTAGAGGGAATGAACAGAATAAGTAATCATCAAGTGATCCATCCCCTGTTTCACATTCCCAGCTTCTGGCAAAAAGTGCCTGTCTTGGCCTTATCCAAAACAATATGCAGAAGGAATTTGATTTCCTGGTTTCATGGTATCTCAATGGTATTTGCCAAAAGAGCATACAACTTAAGCATCAGCCACCATCCCCGAGATTTTCCTTTATATTGAAGCTTAGTAGCTTATCTCCTTATCCTATCCAGTACACCTATCCTGAACACCACCACAATAAGCTGTTTTCCATCCACGCCAACATGTGACAACTACAAAAACAAGCTCTACACTCAGCGTGGACACTCCCTCTTGTATCTCCAAATCAAATCACAAAAATGGGCATGGGAAACATACTGAGAACTCGGTAGCTCCCTGCTTCCTCCCTCAACCTTTGACAGCCATTTACATCTCTAAACATGCACACATACTGAGGCAAAATATTTTCTCTTCATGTCGTAATGGTATTTATACCAGTCTTCTCCTGCCCTTCCATCCCCTCCACCACCAATCAGGCTTGGTTGTTCTGCATTTCCTATTGCACATACAGTATATATTTCACCTTAAGACCACTGGGAAATCAAAGTTTGCCTTTGATAACTTTTATTTTTTGCCAGATGTATTCAATTAAGTTGCATTGGAGTCCATTTGAATTTATCCTATTTTTCTTTTGAATTTTCTGTACATATTCATTAGTTAATTTTAGTGTTATGATTGATAATTCTTTTCCCTTTTATAAAAACAAGGATTTCCTATGTCTTCATTTGCCAGAAATACTACGATATGATTAAGAATTCTATCTTAAGGAAGCCTGGAAGCCTTCCAGAATGATGCTTGTTTATTTTTAAGGTACAATCTTCTGTGGCAGTGGGTACGCCTGACTACATCTCGCCTGAGATATTGCAAGCAATGGAGGATGGGATGGGAAAATATGGACCTGAATGTGACTGGTGGTCTTTGGGTGTCTGTATGTACGAAATGCTGTATGGTGAAACACCCTTTTACGCAGAATCATTAGTGGAAACCTATGGGAAGATTATGAATCATGAAGTAAGAAATATAATCAAACATATATGTATTTATTAAAATATCTATTTATGCAGAAGTTGATGCCTTTTAAAGAAAACTTGATTTTTATTACTATAATTCTACACTTATAATGCAATTTTGTAGGCTTATCACTCATTTTAAGGAATCTGTTAGCTTTCTTGAGTTTGCAAGAATAGAAAAACCCATCTGCTACTGCTATAATTTGAAGATTACCTTCAAATTATGATTTTTATTTTTAAATGTTTGTTAATCTTTGCAAAATAAAAAAAGAACTAAACCAGCCACCATGTTTATGGACCCTACTAAAAAATGTTTACACTAGACTCTGCAGTAGCAATTACTTGTTATTTACACAGCTGACACATTTTCTGTTACACTGGTAATCAGTACAAATAAGGAAATCAGAAAATTAAGCAACCTGAGCTTGAGTTTCTATATAAACACAAGGGATTGATTTTTGCCCATTGTTGGTTGCAAAATTGGTAGGGACATTTTCATTTGTAATCTTTTGAATGAATTTTAAATAGTGCAAAACAATACAGTAAACGGCTTGTGGTTGGTGTTTTTGGAGAAACATTAGAGAGAGGGTGATGCATTTTGGGTGCCTAAATAATAGGAAAGCTTTTTCCAATATAGGTATAGCTGCAGTTATTACAATGGAACTTCCTCAGAAGAATTAAAATGATGTAAGGATACTTGTGCTCTATCTAAACTAGAGCTTACAGTGTTGATAGTACTGATGCAAAGCAGCTACCAATTTACCTAGTGCTGCTTCAGCCAGTGAGTGTTACTTCATTTCTGTTTTTAAAATGTTGCTATATTGCATATATCTGAATTGGAGGATGGTCCTATCTTAACTACTTTTGGCAAATTGTCTGATTTGTCAGTTTTGTGATATTTTGTGGTATTTATACCTATAAATGCTTTTTGTAATTTCTGTTGTCTTGCTGTCTTAATAATGCAGTTTCTATTTGGTTTTGTTCATAGATGTGATTATACTGAATTTTCATTTACAATTTTGAATTTCATTTAGGTTAAGTCTTGCTCTCTTAGAACACTTTGCACATTTGTGGTTTGACAATCCCACTTAAATTTCTTTTCTTTAAAAAAAAATTCTCATTGTTGCAGTAAAAGACCACGGAAACTAAAGTGGAAACTAACAGACTGAACAGGGTAAACAGTGAAACTTTACTGTTCATAGACAGTGTCAAGTATATAAAGTAAATAAACATAAAACGGAAAAACAATTTTATATTACCTTTCATGTATAAACTTAAAAAACAAAAAATAGTCTGGTAGCACTTTAAAGACTAACTTGGCTACTCCTGATGCTTTCATTTATAGTAATTCAAATATGAATTTGTTAAGAATAGGTACATTTCAGGTGTAATTTTTAAGTTGACTTTAAAGATGAAAATCTAGTCATAAATAATTTATAATGTAAAATATTTCATAAAGATTAAAATGCAGTTAGTACAGATGCTAAAAATACTGAATTGACATTTTTTCCTTACATGCATACTACCGATTGACATGGCCTAGTATTACTTGAATTTTTAGTAGAGAATCTCAGATATGAGAACAGGATTGATATTTTTTTTGTCAATAAGAACACAATACAAATAAATAAAAACTGATTTTAAATGGATTAATGTTGCTGACAATTTAAAAGCTTGATAGTTTATTATTATACGGCTTTACTTTTCCTAGCCATTTCAGTAGCAAAATTTACTAAAAGGAAAACAGTATAAATACAAAGTTCCCAAAACACTACAAATGAAAATAGCTAAAACAAAATTTAATATTTTGGGAACTAATTTTTTATTAGCTTATCAAATTTCAAGGTAAATATCACTTTCAAAGAGGCTATTGGTGCTGTGTAGTCAACTTTTTCTGTGTAAAATTTCTTAATTTTTAAAACAAATTTTTAATCATGCCAGCGGTATTAGGCTAATTTTTATCATTATATATAGTTTTAAAAATTAGAAGGGGATGGAGAGCAATAGCTAAAAATATCAAAAATACATTTTAAAATGGGTAGAGCCAACTGAAGAACCACAGTTCTATAATAAGGATGTTAAGGACTAGTCGACTATCTGATAAGCAAATCCATTTTACAAAACTGTTTAGGATAGTCAAGACAGAAGCAGACTGTGAGGGACTCCAAGAAGATCTCACCAAACTGAGTGATTGGGCAACAAAAAGGCAAATGAAATTTAATGTGGATAAATGTAAAGTAATGCACGTTGGGAAAAATAACCCCAACTATACGTACAGGATGATGGGGGCTAATTTGGCTATGACAAATCAGGAAAGGGATCTTGGAGTTATCGTGGACAGTTCTCTGAAAACGTCCACGCAGTGTGCAGCGGCGGTCAAAAAGGCAAATAGGATGCTGGGAATTATTAAGAAAGGGATAGAAAATAAGACCCAGAATATCTTACTGCCCCTGTATAAAACTGAATTGAATACTGTGTACAGATGTGGTCTCCTCACCTCAAAAAAGATATGTTGGCCTTGGAAAGGGTTCAGAAAAGGGCAACTAAAATGATTAGGGGTTTCGAACGGGTCCCATATGAGGAGAGGTTAACGCGACTGGGACTTTTCAGTTTAGAAAAGAGGAGGCTGAGGGGGGATATGATAGAGGTATATAAAATCATGAGTGGTGTGGAGAGGGCCGATAAAGAAAAGTTATTTATTAGTTCCCTAAATAGAAGAACTAGAGGACACCAAATGAAATTAATGGGTAGCAGGTTTAAAACTAATAAAAGAAAGTTCTTCTTCACACAGCGTGTAGTCAACCTGTGGAACTCCTTGCCAGAGGAGGCTGTGAAGGCTAGGACTATAATAGAGTTTAAAGAGAAGCTAGATAATTTCATGGAGGTTAGGTCCATAAAAGGCTATTAGCCAGGGGATAAAATGGTGTCCTTGGCCTCTGTTTGTCAGAGGCTGGAGAGGGATGGCAGGAGACAAAACGCTTGATCATTGTCTTCGGGCCACCCTCTCTGGGGCACCTGGTGCTGGCCACTGTCGGTAGACAGGATACTGGGCTAGATGGACCTTTGGTCTGACCCAGTACGGCCGTTCTTATGTTTATGTTCATTTAAAAGCGTGCAGAGCCCAGGTGACCCAGGTCCCAGAGAAATGCCATCCAGCTGATCCTGGGTTCCACAGAAATGTTGCACAGGGCCCGAGATCAGTCCCCAGCTGACCCTGGGCTCCATGTGGCATTTCCGCAGCTGACCCTGGGCTCTGCACACTTTGGAATGCCATGCTGGAGCCCGGGATCAGCTGGTGAGTCCCCAACTGGTTATGGGAAAATGCTGCGTGTAGCCTGGGGTCAGCTGGGGAGTCCCCAGCTGATCCCGGGTTGCGTGGAAACGTCTCTCAGAGCCTGGGGTCAGCTGGGGAGTCCTTAGCTGATTCCAGGTTCTGCAGAAATGCTGTGTGGAGCCTGGGATCAGTTCCCAGCTGACCCCAGGCTCTGAGAGACGTTTCCACGCAACCCGGGATCAGCTGGGGACTCCCCAGCTGATCCTGGGCTCCAGTGCAGCACTCAGAGCCTGGAGTCAGCTGGGGAGTTCCCAGCTGATCCTGGTTCAGGGAAATGTCGTGTGGAGCCTGGGGACTGTGTGGCATTTCAAAGGGGCAGTATGGAGCCCTGGGTCAGCGTCGGACTCCCTGGGGCAATTTCACGGAACTCTGAGTCAGTTGGGGAGTTCCCCGCTGACCCCAGGCTCTGTGAGGGTGCTTCAGCTCTAAATTGCCCCTACTGGGGACTCTTGTACATTTCAAAGCTGGCACGCTGTTTGCAACCTGGGGCCAGCGAGAGTTCTGCTGACTCCGGGCTCCATGTGCTTCTGCTTTGAAATACACAACGGAGCGGAGCTGGGGCTCTTGTACATTTCAAAGGAGGAATGTGGAAGTGCCTATCAAGTACTCAATGGAAATTCCATCAACTACTCAACTAGTAAATTACTTGTAATTTAACATCCTTATTCTATAACAGTATTCGTGTTTCTGGCAAGCAATGGAAAGATTCTTAGTAGTTAACTTGTAACAATGTGTACCAGTGAAGATCTGCTCCTAGTGTCTCATACTCTACTCCAGTGTGCCATACAGAATCAAAATTAAAGTAAAAGGTCAAAGCTTCAGTTTTTATCATACAATTAATGTGTACAATCAGTGTATTAAAACTAATTGATAATGTATTAAAGCAGACGGGAATGGATAAAAATTGATTTGGAAAAAATACTAGTGAAGTTCCATTGTGAAATGAATTACACCTTAACAAGGGATATAAGAGGTTGTTTAAATACATTAGGAGCAAGAAAAAGATGAAGGTAAGTTGACAACAAGAAGGGCAAAGATTTTGCTTCAGGCTTGACTAAAAAAGCTAAAGGTGACCAGATGCTTATCGCAATTACATTAACAACAAAGGAAAATGAATTATTAAAGAGAAAATAAATTAGATTTTTCAAATCAGCAGAGCCTAATGAAATTCATCCTTGAGTACTTAAGGAACTAACTGAGGCAATCTTTAACAACTGTTCTTGAGAATTCATTGAGTATAGGTGAGATTTCAGATGATTGGAGAAGGACAAATTTAATACCTATCTTTAAACACAGGAACAAAGAGGATCTGAGGAATCCTAAACCATACAACCTAATGTACCTTCCAGTTATCAACAAGAAAAACTGTTAATCATGTAATTTATAAACACCTAAGGGACAATAATGTAATAAATAGTAGCCACCATGAAATTGCTGAGAACAAATCATGCCAAGAGAACCTAATTTCCTTCTTTCACTTGGTTCTGGTCTTTTGGGTTGGGAATGGAAGCTTTAGATGTGCTTATATCTTCATGTTAGTAAGGGAAACCAGGGAAATGTGATTACTATAAGGTTAGTTGCACAACTGTTTGAAAGACTAGTGGTTTGCTTTCATTCTGGGAGGTCTTACTAGGAGTCCTGCACAGGTCTGTCTTGTGTTCAGAATTCTGTAGTTTTATTACTGACTTGGCTAATGAAATGGGGAGAATGCTTATAAAATTTGTGGTTGACACCAACCTGCGAGGAGTTTCTAGCACTTTGGAGGACAGGTTTAGAATTAAAACTGACCTGGATGTATTGGAGAACTGATCTGAAATAAAAAAGATGAGATTCAATGATGAATTGTCCCACCCTACTGGAGAGGTCTCAGCTGTTGTACTCTGTTCAGTTTTGAATACCGCACTTTAAGAAAGATGTGAACAAAGTAGAGCAACAAAAATTGTAAAAGATTTAGTAAGTCTTACCTGTGAGGAAAGGTTGAAAAATTGAGCATGTTTTAGTGTAGAGAAAAGAAGGCTAAGGAGGGTCCTAATACGTCTTCAAATACGTTGAGAACTGTTATAAAGAGGTCAGTGATTGATTGTTCTCCATGTCTACTGAAGGCAGGAGTAAAAGTAACTATCTTCATCTACAGCAAGTGAGATTAAGATTAGATATTAGGAGAAATTTTCTAATTATAAAGGTAGTTAAGCAATGCAACTGGCTTCCAAGAGAGGTTGTGGATTTTAAGAACAGCTTAGACCAAGGGTGAGCAAAAGGGCCTCCTTGGCCTGGATCTGGCCTGCCAAGCGAGTTGATCTGGCCCACGTAGGTCCTGCCACTCCCCTGCCCCTAGGCCCTGATTGACATGGGGGTGGGGGGGGTTCATGTAGTCTCCTCCCCCTGCCTAGAGGGAACTGCCAGCTATTCAGAACTGATGGCAGTTCTCTCTGGCAGGGGGGAGTGAGTGCAAAGACTTCACATGCTCCCCCACTCAGACCAATCAGGCTCTGTGGGTGGGAAAATATGGAAGTGTCCTGGCTCTGCCCCTTCCACCTGAGGTCGCACTTCAAAAATTTCTGAAGTGGCCCCTGGTTAAAAATTATTGCCCACTCCTGGCTTAGACAAATACCTTCTTAGGTATACTTGGTCTTGCTTCAGTGCAGAGAGCTGGACTTGATGGTTTTGAGGTTCTTTCCAGCCTTACTTTTTTTTATTCTGTTCATCATGCCGAAGACTTCCATTACTCATAATAGATTTGAAAATGGTAGCTTTAATTATTCATTTCCATTGCCATTTCTGTGATCAAGTAAGCTTCTTTACCAAAATTGTTTTTTCTCTTTCACGGGACTTTTCCAATATAAAATTCACAAATGAGATTTTTTTTTTCTAGGAACGCTTTCAGTTTCCATCCCATGTGACAGATGTATCTGAAGAAGCAAAAGACCTTATTCAGCGACTTATCTGTAGTAGGGAACGTCGACTGGGACAGAATGGAATAGAGGATTTCAAATCACATCCATTTTTTGAAGGACTTAATTGGGATAACATTCGTAACCTAGAAGCACCTTATATTCCAGATGTTAGCAGTCCTTCTGACACATCAAACTTTGATGTAGATGATGATGTATTGAGGAATCCTGTGAGTCTTTCATTTGAACATTGTATTATTACCTTCCTGTACGTAAAGTAATAGTAAAAACTATTAGTTCGGAAGTGAACAACTTGTTTCTGCTTACATAGTTTAAGCTTTCAAACACACAAAAGCCATGACATTGTTACATTTTTTCCTACAACTTTTAAGTCCATTTGCATGTGCATTATATAACTCTGAGTGTGATGACACATTGCTCATCAAAGCCTCACCCAAGGCTCTGAGTTTATGATCACAGGTATGTAGTTCACATGAGATCGTGTTACACTCATCGCTGCCTGTTGGACCATCCTTGGGTTGCAGTCAACAAGATTTCTGCTTTTTGGATACTTGAAAATAGGATTTCCCTCCTCTCCCTCTGCCCCCTCCCCTCCATCTCAGCCTCCTAATAGCTTACAAGAATGAATTTAGCAAGAAGAGCAGAGGGGAAAGTATTCTATGTGCACATGAGCTTATCTTATGGAAATATGAAGTTATAGTACACAGGAGCACTGGGTTTGATTTTGATAGATTGGTGCAAGAACAAGAATATTATATCTGTAAATGTATTACATTTTGGATTTGTCAAACAGAATTGCTCTCTAAATGGAGCATAGCTAAGAGGGTTTTCAGTATGTGTTGTATTGTGAATGACCATATTTGAGAGAAGATTTTTGGTACAGTAGGAGATTGTTGCAGTATGAATAATTACATGCTGTGCACTGATACATTCTACGAAAAGGTCACTTCAAAGACTATACTCATATATTCTAAGGCCAGGTGGGACCAATATGATCATCTGGTCTGACCTCCTGAGCATTAAGGAACAAAAAAACACATAAGGTTTTTAAATGTTGTTTGTCTTGTTTTCACTCATGTTCTTTTTATGCAGGAAATCGTGCCACCAAGTTCTCATACTGGCTTTTCTGGATTACATTTACCTTTTGTTGGGTTTACATATACAACTGACAGGTAGGCAAAAGAAGCAGTTGCTTGTTACATATATAGTTCAAATAGGGCTAATCCTAGACAGTTTACATTCACAAGCACACTGAAGAATGTATGTAGATAAAATACACTTTTTTTGGCTATACGTGAACATTTTTTCTTTGACTTCACAGGAATTAATATTTTTTATTTATATGTAGTCTTTCTTCATTAATTTTAAATATAGCTTATGATGCATGTGTCTCTTATTTTTGGTGTTTGTGTGGTTTCTATAGTTATATATGTTAAAATAGCAGTTATCTACTGCAGCACTAACTCTGGGAGAAACAGAATATAAATATAGCTTTCTGGAGGACCAAAATGATGGTATTCTGGATTTTTTTTAATGATATCACATGGAATAGTTACAGTTGATATAATCACCATTGAACTTTTCTTTAAAAAGTTCCTTTTTCTGATGTAACTTCCCATATATCTTAACCATAGGATTAAACTTTGTTGTTTGGTAAATTTTATTTTAGTTTTCAGCTAGACTTACGATATTTTTCAGGGATATTTTTGGCTTGTCATCACACTTAAAAAATATCTAATTTCAAAGAGAAGCTATAGCAATATCAAAATTTCAGTACACCTGATTTTTATTAATGGATTCAAAGCACCACTTTTCATGTGTAGAAAGTATCCAAATCCTGCTATTATTTATTTTGATGCTTCTAATGTAGATGGTCACTGCGCAGTTATAAATTGGCCATCTTTTCTGGTACTGACTGAGGCAAGTGTGGCTGTGTGGCATCAGAAAGTTGGTTGCAATGGCTGTTTTGGAGTTTCCTCATTCTAAGAATATGATGAGCCAAGATTCACTTAGACTCCTAAGACCCATTTCAAGCAAATTGGAATTAGAGTCTAAGAGCCCGGGTGCCTTTTTTTTTTAATTATTTTGTATGCCACACTAAAGTCAAATAAGGACATCTATTGCATGACAGAGAGAAGAAACCTGACTACAAGTTCGGAATGAACTAATAAGCTGTTTCTGTGTTTTAATAAACGTCCTAATGACAATCTGCACATGCTAGTAAATTTCAGCAGTCATTCCAAGTCATCTCAGGTTAGATAGACCTAGAAGAGAAATGTGACCAAATCTCAAAGCAAAGTACTATGCTGATTACATTTGATTTCTTCTAAATCCCTTACCAAAATTGGTACAAAAAATGGATCAACAGCACATGAGCCTGGTAAAATGATCCAATTAACAAAAGAAATGTACAGATATAAATTAAATATATTAGTCCCAAGAGAAATAAGATGGGTCACATTAGGACAAATAACTTTTTCAGTTGGTCATCTAGCTTGGTTCTGGGCTGCTGAGTGCCAGTGATATATACTGAGATGGCTTGGATCTGATACAATAAGCTTGAGTTTCAGAAAGTATTGACAGTACAACTTACATCAAGATTCCAGAAAAGTCTATTATTGAGTGTACTATTCCAACAGATCAGATTAGCTGAAGGGGGCAAAAAAATTTTGTTAGCACAGACAGAACTTGGTAGACAAGGTCCTGAAAAGATACGCCCTCCTCATAATTGGAGATATGACTGTTAAAGTAGGGAGCCAAAGACACTGGAAGGGAAGTAATTATAAGGAAACAAGGCCTCAGTAAAATGAAAGAAAATGATAAAATGTTTGCTGGGGTTTTTTTTTGTTTTGTTTTGTTTTTAATGACTAGAAAGTTGAAAGAACACAGGGGTTTTTCCGACAGCGGTAAACCTCTTTGTACGAGGAAGAAGCCTTTTTCCCAAAGAGCTTATTGGGAAAAAGGCGTGTGTGGATGAGAAAGGGAGGGGGGAAGGCGGGTTTTGAAAGAAGAGACCTCCAGGAAAAAGCACAGGTGCCCTGGTGGCCACTCTATCCACAGCAATCAGAACTTAAATGCAATGAATGTGGACACTATCTTCTGAAAAAGCACATTGCATTTTTGTTGTGCTTTTGCTGTGTAGACGCTGTCTTTTGAAAGACGTTTTTCCAGAAGATCTCTTCTGGAAAAGCTTCTTCCGAAAGAAGCCTGCAGTCCAGGCATAGCCCAAGTCACTAAGGATCTCTTTTCTAATGTGTACTGGGTAATGAGAGATCACAGTATAACCAAGAGGTGTACAGTGGTCTTTCACACACAATTTAGAAGATCTAGAGTTTGTAGATTACATCAACTCACATATAGAGATACAAATCCGAACAAGTAATCTCTAGGCATTTGCATAATTAGTACAGTTGAAAATCAACACTGAGGAAAACTGAAGCTATGGCAATCAACAAACAAGAAACAACCAACACTATCTGGTATAGAAAGAGAAGACGTCTGATACTTTGTGTATGTTGGCAGCATTGTAAGTAACACGGATGGAACAGACCAAGACATTAAAATTAGAATAGCAAAAGCTAGATAGCATGCTTTTGTAACTCTGAAGCTGATTGGGAAAAACAGAATCTTGCCCTCCAAACTAAACTTTGAATATTTCAAGCCCTTGTAAAATTAGTCTTATTAGATAGTGCTGAAACTAGGAAACTTATTGAAACCTTATATAAACTTCAGGGTTTTTGTAAAAAGCTCCCTCAGACAGAATCCCCGTATCAGATGGCCAGGAAAGAAAAATCACAAATGAAGTGCTCTGGAGGAGGATGAAACAGAAACAAATAGGACAGGAAATTACAGAATAAAAATGGAGATGGTGGTTGGTTAGGGATGTTAAATATTGGTTAATTGAATAGTCGAGTAACCTCATGAAATTTTATTGGATGGGGCCAGCAGCCCCGTAAAAGATTTAGTAAGTCTTACCTGTGAGGAAAGGTTGAAAAATTGAGCATGTTTTAGTGTAGAGAAAAGAAGGCTAAGGAGGGTCCTAATACGTCTTCAAATACGTTGAGAACTGTTATAAAGAGGTCAGTGATTGATTGTTCTCCATGTCTACTGAAGGCAGGAGTAAAAGTAACTATCTTCATCTACAGCAAGTGAGATTAAGATTAGATATTAGGAGAAATTTTCTAATTATAAAGGTAGTTAAGCAATGCAACTGGCTTCCAAGAGAGGTTGTGGATTTTAAGAACAGCTTAGACCAAGGGTGAGCAAAAGGGCCTCCTTGGCCTGGATCTGGCCTGCCAAGCGAGTTGATCTGGCCCACGTAGGTCCTGCCACTCCCCTGCCCCTAGGCCCTGATTGACATGGGGGTGGGGGGGGTTCATGTAGTCTCCTCCCCCTGCCTAGAGGGAACTGCCAGCTATTCAGAACTGATGGCAGTTCTCTCTGGCAGGGGGGAGTGAGTGCAAAGACTTCACATGCTCCCCCACTCAGACCAATCAGGCTCTGTGGGTGGGAAAATATGGAAGTGTCCTGGCTCTGCCCCTTCCACCTGAGGTCGCACTTCAAAAATTTCTGAAGTGGCCCCTGGTTAAAAATTATTGCCCACTCCTGGCTTAGACAAATACCTTCTTAGGTATACTTGGTCTTGCTTCAGTGCAGAGAGCTGGACTTGATGGTTTTGAGGTTCTTTCCAGCCTTACTTTTTTTTATTCTGTTCATCATGCCGAAGACTTCCATTACTCATAATAGATTTGAAAATGGTAGCTTTAATTATTCATTTCCATTGCCATTTCTGTGATCAAGTAAGCTTCTTTACCAAAATTGTTTTTTCTCTTTCACGGGACTTTTCCAATATAAAATTCACAAATGAGATTTTTTTTTTCTAGGAACGCTTTCAGTTTCCATCCCATGTGACAGATGTATCTGAAGAAGCAAAAGACCTTATTCAGCGACTTATCTGTAGTAGGGAACGTCGACTGGGACAGAATGGAATAGAGGATTTCAAATCACATCCATTTTTTGAAGGACTTAATTGGGATAACATTCGTAACCTAGAAGCACCTTATATTCCAGATGTTAGCAGTCCTTCTGACACATCAAACTTTGATGTAGATGATGATGTATTGAGGAATCCTGTGAGTCTTTCATTTGAACATTGTATTATTACCTTCCTGTACGTAAAGTAATAGTAAAAACTATTAGTTCGGAAGTGAACAACTTGTTTCTGCTTACATAGTTTAAGCTTTCAAACACACAAAAGCCATGACATTGTTACATTTTTTCCTACAACTTTTAAGTCCATTTGCATGTGCATTATATAACTCTGAGTGTGATGACACATTGCTCATCAAAGCCTCACCCAAGGCTCTGAGTTTATGATCACAGGTATGTAGTTCACATGAGATCGTGTTACACTCATCGCTGCCTGTTGGACCATCCTTGGGTTGCAGTCAACAAGATTTCTGCTTTTTGGATACTTGAAAATAGGATTTCCCTCCTCTCCCTCTGCCCCCTCCCCTCCATCTCAGCCTCCTAATAGCTTACAAGAATGAATTTAGCAAGAAGAGCAGAGGGGAAAGTATTCTATGTGCACATGAGCTTATCTTATGGAAATATGAAGTTATAGTACACAGGAGCACTGGGTTTGATTTTGATAGATTGGTGCAAGAACAAGAATATTATATCTGTAAATGTATTACATTTTGGATTTGTCAAACAGAATTGCTCTCTAAATGGAGCATAGCTAAGAGGGTTTTCAGTATGTGTTGTATTGTGAATGACCATATTTGAGAGAAGATTTTTGGTACAGTAGGAGATTGTTGCAGTATGAATAATTACATGCTGTGCACTGATACATTCTACGAAAAGGTCACTTCAAAGACTATACTCATATATTCTAAGGCCAGGTGGGACCAATATGATCATCTGGTCTGACCTCCTGAGCATTAAGGAACAAAAAAACACATAAGGTTTTTAAATGTTGTTTGTCTTGTTTTCACTCATGTTCTTTTTATGCAGGAAATCGTGCCACCAAGTTCTCATACTGGCTTTTCTGGATTACATTTACCTTTTGTTGGGTTTACATATACAACTGACAGGTAGGCAAAAGAAGCAGTTGCTTGTTACATATATAGTTCAAATAGGGCTAATCCTAGACAGTTTACATTCACAAGCACACTGAAGAATGTATGTAGATAAAATACACTTTTTTTGGCTATACGTGAACATTTTTTCTTTGACTTCACAGGAATTAATATTTTTTATTTATATGTAGTCTTTCTTCATTAATTTTAAATATAGCTTATGATGCATGTGTCTCTTATTTTTGGTGTTTGTGTGGTTTCTATAGTTATATATGTTAAAATAGCAGTTATCTACTGCAGCACTAACTCTGGGAGAAACAGAATATAAATATAGCTTTCTGGAGGACCAAAATGATGGTATTCTGGATTTTTTTTAATGATATCACATGGAATAGTTACAGTTGATATAATCACCATTGAACTTTTCTTTAAAAAGTTCCTTTTTCTGATGTAACTTCCCATATATCTTAACCATAGGATTAAACTTTGTTGTTTGGTAAATTTTATTTTAGTTTTCAGCTAGACTTACGATATTTTTCAGGGATATTTTTGGCTTGTCATCACACTTAAAAAATATCTAATTTCAAAGAGAAGCTATAGCAATATCAAAATTTCAGTACACCTGATTTTTATTAATGGATTCAAAGCACCACTTTTCATGTGTAGAAAGTATCCAAATCCTGCTATTATTTATTTTGATGCTTCTAATGTAGATGGTCACTGCGCAGTTATAAATTGGCCATCTTTTCTGGTACTGACTGAGGCAAGTGTGGCTGTGTGGCATCAGAAAGTTGGTTGCAATGGCTGTTTTGGAGTTTCCTCATTCTAAGAATATGATGAGCCAAGATCCACTTAGACTCCTAAGACCCATTTCAAGCAAATTGGAATTAGAGTCTAAGAGCCCGGGTGCCTTTTTTTTTTAATTATTTTGTATGCCACACTAAAGTCAAATAAGGACATCTATTGCATGACAGAGAGAAGAAACCTGACTACAAGTTCGGAATGAACTAATAAGCTGTTTCTGTGTTTTAATAAACGTCCTAATGACAATCTGCACATGCTAGTAAATTTCAGCAGTCATTCCAAGTCATCTCAGGTTAGATAGACCTAGAAGAGAAATGTGACCAAATCTCAAAGCAAAGTACTATGCTGATTACATTTGATTTCTTCTAAATCCCTTACCAAAATTGGTACAAAAAATGGATCAACAGCACATGAGCCTGGTAAAATGATCCAATTAACAAAAGAAATGTACAGATATAAATTAAATATATTAGTCCCAAGAGAAATAAGATGGGTCACATTAGGACAAATAACTTTTTCAGTTGGTCATCTAGCTTGGTTCTGGGCTGCTGAGTGCCAGTGATATATACTGAGATGGCTTGGATCTGATACAATAAGCTTGAGTTTCAGAAAGTATTGACAGTACAACTTACATCAAGATTCCAGAAAAGTCTATTATTGAGTGTACTATTCCAACAGATCAGATTAGCTGAAGGGGGCAAAAAAATTTTGTTAGCACAGACAGAACTTGGTAGACAAGGTCCTGAAAAGATACGCCCTCCTCATAATTGGAGATATGACTGTTAAAGTAGGGAGCCAAAGACACTGGAAGGGAAGTAATTATAAGGAAACAAGGCCTCAGTAAAATGAAAGAAAATGATAAAATGTTTGCTGGGGTTTTTTTTTGTTTTGTTTTGTTTTTAATGACTAGAAAGTTGAAAGAACACAGGGGTTTTTCCGACAGCGGTAAACCTCTTTGTACGAGGAAGAAGCCTTTTTCCCAAAGAGCTTATTGGGAAAAAGGCGTGTGTGGATGAGAAAGGGAGGGGGGAAGGCGGGTTTTGAAAGAAGAGACCTCCAGGAAAAAGCACAGGTGCCCTGGTGGCCACTCTATCCACAGCAATCAGAACTTAAATGCAATGAATGTGGACACTATCTTCTGAAAAAGCACATTGCATTTTTGTTGTGCTTTTGCTGTGTAGACGCTGTCTTTTGAAAGACGTTTTTCCAGAAGATCTCTTCTGGAAAAGCTTCTTCCGAAAGAAGCCTGCAGTCCAGGCATAGCCCAAGTCACTAAGGATCTCTTTTCTAATGTGTACTGGGTAATGAGAGATCACAGTATAACCAAGAGGTGTACAGTGGTCTTTCACACACAATTTAGAAGATCTAGAGTTTGTAGATTACATCAACTCACATATAGAGATACAAATCCGAACAAGTAATCTCTAGGCATTTGCATAATTAGTACAGTTGAAAATCAACACTGAGGAAAACTGAAGCTATGGCAATCAACAAACAAGAAACAACCAACACTATCTGGTATAGAAAGAGAAGACGTCTGATACTTTGTGTATGTTGGCAGCATTGTAAGTAACACGGATGGAACAGACCAAGACATTAAAATTAGAATAGCAAAAGCTAGATAGCATGCTTTTGTAACTCTGAAGCTGATTGGGAAAAACAGAATCTTGCCCTCCAAACTAAACTTTGAATATTTCAAGCCCTTGTAAAATTAGTCTTATTAGATAGTGCTGAAACTAGGAAACTTATTGAAACCTTATATAAACTTCAGGGTTTTTGTAAAAAGCTCCCTCAGACAGAATCCCCGTATCAGATGGCCAGGAAAGAAAAATCACAAATGAAGTGCTCTGGAGGAGGATGAAACAGAAACAAATAGGACAGGAAATTACAGAATAAAAATGGAGATGGTGGTTGGTTAGGGATGTTAAATATTGGTTAATTGAATAGTCGAGTAACCTCATGAAATTTTATTGGATGGGGCCAGCAGCCACTGTATCAGAGGCAGCAGCATGAGGTGCTAGGTGGGAGCTGGTCTGCGAAGGGAGCCAGTTTAAAAAACTCCCCTTCTGGAATGGCTGTCTGTCGCCTTGTGCTGCTGCTTCTGTGAGAGGCAGCAGTGCAGGGTGGCAGCAGTGCCTGTCTGGGGGCAGCCTGAGTGCCTGGACTCAGCGCAAGCCAGAACTGAGCTAGGCTACCTTCCTGCCTAGCTCTTAATACGCTTGAAATGCAGAGCTGAAATGGTAGGTCCCAGACCCCAACATGGGTCAGGACTGAGCTGGGTTGCGTGCCCGCTTGGCTCCTATACACTTTAAATAGGGAGCCACAGCACGGGTAGGTCCTGGACCCATTGAAAGCCAGAGCTGAGCTAGGTTGCTGGCCAGCCTGCTAAAAATTTATTGGAGAGGGAAATGCGTGTAGTCTATAGCATTAACCTATAAGCTTTTGCTTATCGGTTAATCAACTGTATTATTACGTCTCTAAAGGGTAGTGTATGTATGGAGGAACAACCTAAATAACATAAGACAGGCATTGGACTGGAATGCCTGGAACAAGAGGTGACAAAATAGACCAAGGATAGCATGGAAAAGCATAATAGAAGCAGAATTGAAAACTATCAAAATGACATGGCTGACCTCAGCAGGAGACTGGCAAAGATGGAAGATGGTGATAGTGAAGGAGTGGAGGTGTATTTCTGAATGGAATAGAAAGGCTTGAGAGAGAGAAACTGCAAAACCTTGGCACGAGTGTGTATAGTAGCACCACATTGAGTGTTGTGCTCAGAAATTTAATTGTAACTGTTGTTGAATTCCGCCATGAAACTGCTACGGATTATGATAAATATTCACCCATGTATTGTTTTGGTTGCAGTTTATTTTCTGATAGAGGCTCTTTAAGAAGTTTAATGCAGTCTGGTGCAGTAAGAGATATGGATGTGCAACATGACTTAGAGAACAGCTTGCAAATAGAGGCTTATGAAAGGAGAATACAAAAACTGGAGGAAGAAAAACGAGATTTGAATGGAAAACTGCAAGGTTAGTTGTGTACATTTACTGGGATTTTCCGTTCAAATTATGAAAAGCAGTAGAATGTTTTTAGTTTGGCTGACATTTTTTTCTTACTCAATTTAAGAATCTACACAGATTGTGCTGTCCCTGCAAGGTTCAGCTTGTGTTAAGGGAAACACAAACCGTGATAAAGAAATCAAGAAGTTAAATGAAGAAATTGAGCGTTTAAAGAACAAAATAGCAGGTAAGTGTCTGCATTAATGGCCGATATTCTGATTGGTATGTCATGTACTGTAATAACTTAATTCTAGTATCAGTTAGTAGCATGAATTCTTGGCTCTCTAGATTTGAATTTGGTTCAGAGTAAGTACAAGTAAAGTTATTGATGAATGCTAATGGAAAGAAAGGATACTTACTAGAATACTTATATTAAGCACCAGTACAGTATTTTCAAATAAACTGTTAACTTTACCTCATCCTCCTGAGCCTGATAGCACATATTCCACTGGAAGCCAAGAGGAGAAGGAATTGGTTAGATTCAGTTAGATAGGTTCTGAATTTAATCTTTCCTGTGCTTTTAATCTTTTTTTTCATGGGATGAAGGGGCATTTGTCTAGTGTTAGGTATGGAAAGCAGTAAAAAGAAATTGTCTGATTGTTTTGAGCCCACTCAATGCATCTTCATCTAGTGATGTCTAAAATGGGCAAGTTGACAAAGGCAAGTACTCAGGTTTTACCCAAGAGAAGGAAGACAACTGTTGGATCCAAATAGATTAATTGAAACTGCTCTTTGACTGCTCTGTTCTGTTCATTCATGTAAATATGAGATTAGTTTTAGAAAACCTTAAAAAGAGGGAATTAGAGCTACTTTTCACTTAGTGCTAGCTAAACTCTCTCAGGCTTTTAGTCTTAACGAAGCTATACAGTAGAGAGGCTCACAGTTGTCTTTACTATAAAGAAAAAAAGAATAGAGATTTAAGTTTGTGAGCATATCATCCTTAAATTTCTGCAGCCCTTAATCTGTCATTTTCCACTTCATAAAAGCCTTCATTCTGCCTTCCTTCCAGATTTCTTAGCTCAAATTGTATTTTTTTCCTTTTCAGGCATCTTCTCACTGAAGATATGAGCATTCCATGTTATTGTAGCACATAATTTCCTTATCTCCAGTTTTTAATGTCATCTTTACTCATTGACTTCACCCCACACACATTCATGGGGAAGTCCTTTTCCTAGCCATGACTAATTTTCCTTCCTTCCTTCTCAGTAGTCATTCCCTTAAAGGTCTTTGTCTAGTTTTAGCCATCCTAAAACCTACCCTAATCTGAATATAATGCCCTACTAAAAAAACACCCCATTCTTGTATTTTGAAGCAAAATACACCCCCCCCCCAAAAAAAAAAAAAGAAAAAGAAAAAACACTGTTCAGAATTTTTTGTGTCTGGACAAATGTCTGTCTCTGTGACATTGGGGCTCTTAGTAGATATACAAGTGAAAAAGTAAAAATGAGGATGAATCCTTGTGCACAGAGATTGACTAGAAGGCTCTCCGGAGTGGGGAAGAATAAGAAAAAACATTTAAACTCTTAACAAGTTCCCAGCAAAAGTTAGTGGTTTCTTCATGTATCATTGTTACTTATGCTTTTGGTGTAAATCTGGGGCAAGTATGCTTATTTTGAATTTCTGTACAGATTCAAATAGGTTAGAACGACAGCTTGCAGATGCGGTTTCACTTCGCCAAGAACATGAAGATTCCACACACAGGCTGAAAGGACTTGAAAAGCAATACAGGACACTAAGGCAGGAGAAGGAGGACCTTCATAAGGTAATGTTCTTAAGTGTATACCTTTAAAAACACTCTCGTCGGGTAACACAAAAATAAATGTGACCCAGTGACAGCATTCCCTGAATATTTGAAATGGTACTTTTCCATTATGTCCAATGTGTCAGCATATTAGTGCACCCATTCATTTAATCAGTAATAGAATGTCAAGATGAATAATAGCTGCTCAAAGAGACATGTATTCTACATCACGTGTTGGTAGATATTCAAGTAGTTTTAAAAGCTCTGCTTTCTATTAGTACTTAAGGCATTAGTTTATTCTTTCTTTTTCAGTATGTTCATGATATCCCTGATGAAATAGTGGAAAGTTGAAAAGCCAGGGAAAATAACCTGGTTTGTCTTGGCCAAAACACATAATTTATAAAGTCTTTAAGTATTCAGGAATGTGGAGATTAATTTTCTAATTGTTTAAAGAAGGGTCAGTTTGGCTGTTTCTTTACTCTCAATATGTTGAAATATTCACAGAAGTTTTAAAATTGAAATTGTATGACTAATAAGAAATTCCAGACTTATTGACATGTATTTTATACAAATATTTCAGTAAGTTTAGCTGGATAACTATTCCTCATTGAGTCCACTGCTACTCTTTATAGTAAATGAAATTTTAACTTCCATTTTATAAAGGAACAATATGCCAAAGCTAGAGCATCTATAGGATTTTTAAGATTGTTGTTCTCCTTTAGTGGGTAATACTACATATATCTAGCACAATTCAACTCTTTCATGCTGTCCTTTTTCTAATATAATAGAGTATATTATCTCTCAATGTTGCACTGCAGTAGTTTAACTATTACAAAGTAACTGTTAATACGTGTAAAGGTCACAGAAGGATACCTGTGTTAGTCTGTAACTGAAAAAACTTAAAACAACTAGTGGTCCTGCAGCACCTTAGAGACTAACAAAAAATGTAGATAGTAGTATGAACTTTTGTGGGCACAACACACTTCAAAGGAAGGCGCAAAGGATCCAGAGGTACAAATAAATAAAAAGAGAAGGAAAAAAATCTTGTCAGTTAGAGTGTGGACTGTAAGTGCCCAATACTCAGCTTTTGCTATCATTACGATGTTGAATATAATAGCCCATCCAGTTCATGTCTTTGTTCAAACCTTAAATAAAAGTGTCAGACTTGCAAATGGAGGCAAGTTCTGCAGATTCTCTCTCCAACTGGTTTTTTAAATTGCTTTGTAAAAGTATAATCATTTTTAGATCTATTTAATGAGTGCCCGGGTAAGTTGAAACATGCCCCAAAAGATTTCCGCATGTTACCATTTCAGATATCTGATTTGTGTCCATTAATCCTTTGTTGTAGAGCAGTGGTCTCCAACCTTATTAACCACAAGATCACTTTTTCAATTTAAGTGCAATGTAAGATCTACCTCAAATCCAAATAACCTTGCCCCACTTTCTTCCCACCCCTTCTTTGAGGCCCCACCCCTGCTCCACACCTTCTCTGAGGCCTCATCCGGCTCACTCCATCCCCACTTTTCCCCCATCCTCACTCACTTCCATCAGGCTGAGGTAGGGTGTTGGGGTGCAGGCTCTAGTCTTGGGCCAAGGGGTTCGGTGTGTGGTAGGGGCTCTGGGTTTAGCCCAGGGTGGCAGCTTGGGGTCCAGGAGAGGTTTCAGGGTCTAAGCTCTGTGAAGGAGTTTGGGTGCAGAGGCACCCACTTCTAGTGCACTAGGAGGTGCAGGGCTTGGGCTAGGGTTCAAGATGCAGGATCTGGCTGGGCATCGTTTAACTGAGACTGCTTCCGGGTGGTGGAGCAGTGGGGTTAAAGCAGGTTTACTCCTGCCCTGGCCCTGCACCACTCCTGAAAGCAGCTGGCATGTACCGCAGTGGCTCCATGATGGCTCCATCGCCTTCTCTCTGTGTTATGCCTTATGCAAATACATGGCACTAAGATAAGGATTGTTTTGGGCTGATGGTATACTTCATGTCTTCTCTTCAACCAGAGACTATTATGGAGTTGGAATATCAGGAGTTGCATGAAGTGACTAATTTGTGTGTACAAATTATGAGAGTCAGGTGGAGTAATAAAGCTTACACAGAGAAGAATGCCAGTTTAGAAGTAGCACAATACTTAAACTCAGCATGAACCTGGAATTTTTTAAATTTGAAAATACATAAAATGGTTAACTTTAAAGGAAAGTCTGTTTGACTTATCCGTTTTTGTGTTTTTTCTTGGAGATGTGGATTTTTTAATGTTGTCTTTTTTTATTTTACCAGCAACTTGTGGAAGCTTCAGAAAGATTAAAGGCACAATCCAAAGAACTGAAAGATGCCCATCAGCAAAGAAAGCTAGCCATGCAGGAGTTCTCAGAGCTCAATGAGAGAATGGTAGACTTGCGCTCTCAGAAACAGAAGTTCTCCCGACAGCTTCGTGACAAAGAAGAAGAGATGGAAGTGATCATGCAGAAAATTGATTCTATGAGACAGGAAATTCGTAAATCTGAGAGAGCCAGAAAGGAGGTAACTTAGCAAAATATTTAAGGTTAACCATTTTCAGCTGTTTCTTATACTTCAATTAAGTCATACTTCATAAAAGTAAAAACGACCCCCAAGGTAACCATAATTTATATAGGGTCTATAAGTACCCCTGGCATTTCTGACACATTTTACTTCATTTGTGGAGTACATCTTAAAGATTTAGGAGTTATTGTAGTGTTTTGCTCATGTATTCTAATTGCTTGTAATCCAGTGAAAATATATTCTCATTAAAAATGTCAAGAAATAGTGTCAGTTTGAGATCTAGTAAATACCAAAGGCCAAAGCAGTTTATTCTGAGTACCTCTGTCAGTTTCCTCATTAAAATGTTTTTTTTCTTTTCCATGGCTGTGTGAGATGGGGGAAACAGTAAAACAGACTAAGCAATGTGCTCTCAAATTCAGGAAGTATCCAAACTGGAAGTCTTAGTTCCCTCATCATTTTTAATTAGCTATTTTAATAGCTGTGTATGTGCAACTGTAGGTTAAAAAATCCACTTAGTCCATTTTAAAGTTCTCTATGTAACCTCCATCATTTTGTTATTAATATTACCATATGACATAAGAACACTAATCGTGTACCAGAATCCTGTTGTGCTAGGTGCAATACAAATATGGAACAAAAAGACAGTTCCTACTCCAAAGAGCTTATAATATAAGACAAGAGACAACAGGTAGATTCAGACAGAAGGGAAAGTACAAGGAAACAGTGGGGAAGTTTTGGTCAGGATAATAGTTAAAATCGGTGTCCCTATTTTGTAGGCATAATGAAGAAGTTATAAGGAGGGATTTCAAGGAAAGGCAATAAGATAGCTTTGTGGATGTTCATAAGGAGTTCCTCCTATACTGGGAGTGCGAATGAGATGGGGTGGAAGGTCCTTTCAAAGATAGAGGTGCTTGTTTGAAAATTTAAAAGATTGAGCAATTAAGGCTGTATGGAGCATTGTAGGCCATTTGGGCATAGGAGTTGATATTTCAGCAGTGAATGAAAGATTAGGTGGTGATAAGTCTAAGGACATTGCTATTCTCATTGACCCTACCTTCCCTTTTGTTCCAAACATCTTGGCTGTGTCCAAATGCTGCTGCTTTTTTTGCATCCAGGCCCTCAGAATGTTCTCTGTAGGTGCTTGTAAAACTCCTTCACTCTAGCTTCCTCACCATCAAAGCCATCCAAAACATGGCAGCTAAAATGATCACCATAATTCTGAACATGTTATTCCTTTCAAAGTTTCTTTATTAGCTCCCTTGCAATTAAAGCTTATCTAATGTTGGCTATTTACAACTCTGCCCCTCTAATTATAGACTCTCAGACTCTAAGCCAGAGGAGATCATCATGATCATCTAATCTGCTGGCTTGCACATTGCAAGCCACAGAACCTCACCCTCTCCTGTTCCTGTAATAGATTTATCAGTGTTTGTTTCTTATTTCTCTCCACTGCTTTTCCCATGGTTAATTGCCCATTTATCTCTTTCTGCAATAGGTCTCTTCCACCTTACCTTTACATATTCCATGCTCTTACTTAACAGGCTGTAAAGTCTTTGCCGCCTTCTCTTTCTAATCTCTCTCTTCAAAACCCACTTCTACTGTCATTTCAAAGTGGCCATATCTTCATAAGAGATAATTCATGGAAATAGCGTAATCGCTTCCTACTGTGAAATTTTGAGACAGAATAGTATTGGTATAAAAATACTTTCAAATTGACAGTCATAAAGGGTGACCATTTTAAGGAGAGCTGATTAGATGTTTTGTGTTTTTTAAGATGCAACTGAACTATAAACTTAAGTGGCTTATCCTGTGCCATTGCCTTTGTCACAAGGACTGACTTACCTCACTCCCTTCTGCTAGCATTAATGAGGACTACATGCTTTTCTCATACAAATCTTGTTTGTTCTTAATTTATATTTGACTTTAATATTGGTTTTATTACCGATTGCTAAAATCACAGAGTGGTAGTGTATGGCCTACAAAGGAATTGAGTCTTGCCTGAAAGACTTGTCTAAAAAGACCGTGATCATGGTGTAGACTGCAAGAGTTGTAAGGATGGGGAGTAAAAAAAAGAATCATGATGGTTCCAAAGACCCAAAAGTAGCAAAAAGGAGCAAGATCACAAGAACTGTCTTTCTGCTTTCTGCTTTGACGCAATTTAAGATGTTCGTTTTCACAGATGGAAGCTCAACTGGAGGATGCCACAGCAGAAGCATCAAAGGAACGCAAGCTTCGTGAACACAGTGAGATTTTCTCCAAGCAGCTGGAAAGTGAACTTGAAGCACTAAAGGTAACCATTATTTTTCAAATAAAAGATATGGGGAAACAGATGCCTTTTTTTACTACGGATACAAGACCGAGCCTCCAATAAGTTGGCTTATCTAAATGTGTATATTTCTAGTCCTTCATGTATCCATCAGCTAAATTTGGCTTTCATAGAAACATGACAGCCTATTAGATATACCTCTTATCAGAATGTTTCCCTCAGCTGTGTTATTGATGTCAGTCTCTTGACTTTTACCCATTTACATTGAATCCTAACTTTTTAAGCAAACTAGAAAAATCGTGGGTCATCTTTCCCTGATAATGTACACACTCTTGTTTCTGCAGCTAAAGCAAGGAGGGCGTGCAGCAGGTGCCACATTAGAACATCAACAAGAGCTTTCCAAAATGAAATCTGAGCTGGAAAAGAAAATCTTGTTCTATGAAGAGGAGTTAGTCAGGCGAGAGGCATCCCATGTCTTGGAAGTAAAAAATATTAAAAAAGAGGTGCATGATTCAGAAAGCCATCAGCTAGCACTGCAGAAAGAAATTATGATGCTAAAAGATAAATTGGAGAAAGCAAAACGAGAGAGGTAAGGGTCTGTATTAAACCATTCTGCTGGAGAAAGTCTTGTTCCCTCCATTTCCCCACCTCTTCTCTTTTGGGCACCTATCTCCCCCAGTGTCTTTTGAAAATCCCCACCATCCCCAGTGATCTGTAAAGTTATAAGTTCTCTATTTTTTCCTCAGACACAATGAGATGGAGGAGGCTGTAGGAACAATAAAAGAAAAATATGAGCGAGAGAGAGCCATGTTCTTTGAAGATAACAAAAAGTTAACAACGGAAAATGAAAGGGTAATTAATATAGCCAGTGCTTAGAAATGAAGTACATTTACTCTTCTTGAAAACTAGGGTTCTGGTCTTCACTTAAATCTTGTTACCTTTTAAGTTACTCTAAAATTGTGATAGTTCTCTCTTAAACTCACTGACCATAGGAAAAAATAATAAACATGCTTTAAAAATGGTATCTTTTTCATTCTTGTGGATTGGAGTAAATCCAACTGTCAAATGTATGCTGCAGACCTGGACAAATCAGTTTCCTCTTTGAGTGGCCTCTGCATACTCGCACTTGTGGGATTGGTGCTTCCGGTGTTGAACAGTGGACTTTTATGAATAACTGTCCACTGGGGTTAATTACCCCTCCCTCGTGGAGTATTCCAAGAGTATTAAGAAGGGAGTGATAACAACCATCCCCCAAGGATTGCACGGTGTCCTTGACACTCATTGATTTTTCTATTCATATCTTCAATTCTCATTTCCCTTTGTTGAAGTGGCATGTGGACCTAATTTCCGCAGTGCTACATTGATTTTGCAGAGCTTTACAATAATATCCTCAAGTAGTCTTGTTTGTGTGTATTCTATGTGCATAATATCTGAAAGTGACATAAATTGCACATGAAAATAACTGATCACTTTTCGTTTCAGCTTTGTTCCTTTGTGGATAAACTAACAGCACAAAACAGGCAGCTAGAAGATGAGCTCCAAGATCTGGCAGCAAAAAAGGAATCAGTTGCTCATTGGGAAGCTCAGATTGCAGAAATCATTCAGTGGTAGGTACTATTCCCTCCTCTCCTCCATCTTCGACTTTTGAAAGTTTAGAGCGTTTTTAACATAATTAAGTATTCTGTGGATTTTCATACATGGATGTGGTTGTTGATGATCTGTTTTGTCTTTTGTTTATCACTGGATTAAGTAATAGGATTTTTTTCATCTTTCTGCAAATTACTGCCATGGAATATTAAGTGCACAGGAAAATGATTTCTGTGTCAGTTCAAGTCAAACTTTAAAATAATTATTAAATTGCAAAATCATTAAGCTTGGTTTCCTCTAGAAACTGACTAATTCATACGGGACAATTACCAAAACTTATACAGGGTTCGGGACAAGATATCAGAACTGGAAGTTCCCTTGTAGTAGTTCTCTCTCTAGTGCCATCCTCTGCAGCCCCTAGAAAACCTAGGGCCTCTTGAATTTCCTCCTTCTATGTTTAGTGTTCCCATCCTTATGCAGAAAGCAATTGCTATCTGTCAGCTTCCCTCTCACAAAATTTCTTTTTATTCTGACCTTACTGGTTTGACAGCTTATGTGCAAGTGTTTCAGTATAAGAACAAAAGTAGGCATGTGTACACACATTCGTCTAGGTGTGCTCACATTCTTCCTCCATCTGAGGCTCAATGGTGATGAGGCCTAAGAACAATACTTCTCGGCAAGAAGAGGGTTTTTTTTGTGTCCCTGGAGTGACCTTTAGCCTTGAAAAGGAGGCCCTCAGGGCATATTTATATGCTTTTCTGGGCACTGAAAGAAAGGAGCTGGAGGAAGCCAATAGAGATCAGTCCCTGGCTGTCCATATAACCAGCACATCAGGCTCTATGCAGTAGTAATGAAACTCTGTGTGGTTCCCGTTGACTTCTAGAGGAAAATATATCATGCCACAACTTCCAGGGGAATGAGAACCAGCAGGAGGAAAGTCCTAAAAGAAGCACAATTAGGCTCCATCCTGGGCCTGGTAATTTCCCCAGTGCTTGATCCCTTTTTGTGACCCTCAATTCAGTACAAATACTCTGTTGTTATTTGGCAGGAATATGACTTGTTTCATGATCCGTTCACCTGAGTATCAGTTTTATATCTTCTACTATTTCTATACAAAGTCATGCTTAAGTAACTGCTTTGTAACTGCTCTCTAGGGTAAGTGATGAGAAGGACGCACGTGGATATCTTCAAGCTTTAGCTTCCAAGATGACAGAAGAACTAGAGTCATTGAGAATCTCTAGTCTGGGCTCAAGGACATTGGTAGGTCAACAGCAAACATTCAGAAGGCTTTTCTAATTCTAGAAAATTAATGCATAATTTCTTAATGCTTTTAGAAATCCTCTTATTCATCAAGAAAGAGGATAATATGCAAACAGTCAAAGGTATTTTCTAACAAAGACTATGCGCTTTGCTTATCCTGTCTAATTTTCCCATTTGTGTGGGAATCCGCTACACAGTTCTCGGGATACTCAGGCCTGAGAGTCACCTTGTTTAACCCACTCTAGACAGAGAGCACGTCATTCTTGTAGTTGTTGCTCAGTCGCATAGTTTTGTGAGACCTTTTTGAAGTTCTTCACAGTCTGCTTTGGACTTAACTAACTTAACTTTTCCTCCCCCTTAGATTCATTTCTCATGGGATCTTACTTACCAACTCCCTGAGTTTGACAAAGTCTGCATTCTTGAAAATTCATTATATTTCTATTCCATAAAGCATACATTCAGTATTAACTCATTGTTCCTTTAATAATATACATCCATACATCTCTCAGTGATTGACTCATGACAAGTTACAAGCTTTCTGAAGATATCTTACATGTTCTTTATGGATAAATATCCTATGAAATTTGTTCAGTGTAGTGACTTTGTTAGGTCTGAGGGGACAGCTGTTTGCAAAGAACAGGGAGCTGTGGTCCCAGTGGTCTCTTTCTCTCACAATCCAAATTTAATGATAATTCGGTATTTTGCTCATTGCTAATATCTGCCATTGATTATAAACTATGACTTAAAATAAGATTAAAGGGAAGAGTCAATAAAATAAATGCTTCTAAAAAAAATAAAAGAAAATACATTTAATGCACCATACCCCTAAAAGTTTAGACGCATAAATAAATAATAACCATTTGCCCTAATAGTCGTAATACAATGGGTTTCATTCCTCAGGCTGCATGGTAGAAGATGATGAACATCTGGGATTAAGAAGAAAATTTTCCTTATGGGAAAATGTTACATAGCTAGCTACACTAATTTATATTTCACAGTAAATTTCTTGACACTCTTAAAGGAGTCCCTGTTAAGGAAAACATTTTCTCTGGTCCTTAGCACTTAGTAAGTCCAAGAATGGTTCAGGAGAGCTTCTTCATGGGGCCTTTACTTGCCCAACATATTGGCTAGTACACAAAGGGAAAGTATTTATGCTGGTGACCATAGGCATAGTTTGACACTCTCTCCTCTCCTCTCCACTCCCACTCCCCCCCCCCCCTTTTTTTTTTTTTTTTTTGGTGCAGTGCTCCCATGCTTCCCCTCTCTCTGCCCAGGACAGTAACAGATTACATTTCCTCTCCCTCCCCACTTCAGCGTAAGTGGGGATACAAAAGATCAAATTATGGCTTGTAATTTTCTTCCTGATATAGTCCAGTGCCAGTGCATCTGTGCACCACTACTTCTTGCTTGGGATTGAGAGTGAAGTAAAGTCTAGCCCTAATGAAGACAGGTGCAAGAGGACGAAGTGGCAAATTTAAGGCAGACAGAGAAAATTTGCTCTTTTTGCCTACTGTTAAAATATAAAAAGCAGATGACGTACTATAAAGCAGGTTTCATAGATTTTTAGTAGATTTATTCTAAATTAATAGTCATGTATTTGGATCAGACTTCAGGAATATACGTAAATAAGTCATTCCAAATTGTGGTTCTGGTCTACTGAGGTTCTTGGAGCACTTGCAGCTCTTCTCAGTTCATCAGTGTGTACAATAATGTTGCTTTCCTTGATTTCAGCTGCTAAACTTCATTAGAGAACAAAATATATCTTTTTTTAATATTTGGTTTCTGTGTAAGAAATTGCTGCAGTTGCCATGGGAATGTTACATGGTTTTATGATCATGAGTGGGTGGATAGGTGTCTGAGACACACTCTCTTAACATACAATCCACACACTGAAGATGTTTGAGAACATCTGTAATAAGAAAGCCTTGAAAAATTATCTATCTTAGAAAATCAAAAATACCATTTTTTGGTAATAAAATGCAGAAGTAGTAATCCATAGCTTTAATGTACAAGATTAAAAATATATGTAATGTCAGCATCTCTTTGAGAAACCTAATGACAACTTAAAAGCCTTTTACTGTAAACAAACAGAAGTTTGTGCCTATGTCAGTAGTCAGGCCCATCAACGGGGCAGTTGTCCCGGGGCCTGGCAATTCAAAGGGGCTGGAACTCCCA